TTAGCTTTCCAACAAATTTTGAATCGCCTCAATCGAATATCGGAAATAAAGTTATGATAAAAACACTGAAAGAAGGTGCAGCTGCCTGTTTAAACAAGAAATTCCGTTACATAATCCGTTAAAACAACAAATTCCGTTAGTTTTTCCGTTAAACCAACAAATTCCGTTAAATAGGCACTTTTTATATATAGAAAGAGAGATATATTACTCAAAATTTATGATGGACAAATAAGTCTTTAAACGAAATATTTGGACATAAATTATCATTTAAGGAAAAAATTATATAAAAATGTGATTAAAAAAAGTTATGAAGTTAGAGTAATAATTTAAAATGAAATGCATGTGGCGTGACGTACCCTTCCCGTGATTTGCTGAAAGAAAACTTTAAAATACTCCATTGATTCTTTGATGGCCCCTCGTCCAAGTCACTAACTCCATTGATGCCTTGATGGACCCCTCATGCAACTATCTGCTGCTTAGCCTCAGTTTGACCCATATTCCCATTTAATGACATTTAATTATCACTTAAACTGATGCGAAGTACCAATAGTACGTACTAAATAATATTACTATTAATTTTAACCATATATTCTGTTTAGTGAGGATTAAAATCACATTTTTAGCAAATTTTGCTAGGAGTTGATGAAGCCCTTGTTTGAGTCCCATTTTTTTAAGATGCATTCTTGAATAGTGTTTTGATTCCATTTAAATCACATATTCTTTAATAACATTTTTTTAAAATGCATTCTTTAAATCATGTAAATTGAAAATTTTTCCTTATTTTTTAATTACACATTTTCCATCAATATACTATTCAAGAATACATTTTTTGACAAAAAAATATGAGGCTCAAACAATATGGAAATGTGTGGTAGAAAAGTTGTGGGTTCCTGTGTGGTGGGGATTAAAATAATATTTTTAATAAAAGTTGATAAAATATGTGATTGAAAAATTGCGGATCCATGAAATATATGGTTAAAATTAATTGTTGAATTGGATTTAAATTAAAATCCTTACTAAAGAGGGCTATATGTTCACAAAATTTAGACTAACATTAATAAATGAGTCGATTTTGTGGTACTTGTGAACCCCATGAATTTATAACATTCGTACATACGTGTATGCATACGTTGTCATTGAAGTCATATTTAGTGTGTGTGTGTTTCCCATTATTGTAAAAGAAATGAAGTAATTGATATTTTTTTGAAGAATGTGTGGTTGCAATTTAAAGTAACTTTATTAGTTTGTGTGTAGAATATTTTATTGGATGAATGTGTGGTGGAGAATCTTATTGCAGCAAATAATATTTTGGAATAATGGACAAACGGGACCTTAATTACGTCAGAATTATGAATATTTCTTCAGCAATAAAAAAACAAAATATTTGTTCAAGTGAGGACAAATATATGAGTAATTCTAGAAAATTAAGTAGGGACAATATGAGTATTGTTATTTATTATTAGTAAATACCATCATCTTTTAAACAAAGTTGAGTCATTTGATTGATTTTCAATTGAGGTGTAATGTGTCATTTGATCTCATGGAATATGTGGTTAAAATTAATTGTTGAATTTGACTTAAATTAAAATCCTTACCAAAGAGGTCTATATGTTCACAAAATTTAGACTAACATGTGTTGATTTTCTAGTGCTTGTGAACCACATGAATTTATGACATTCGCTCATACGTGTATGCATACGTGTTCATTGAGGTCATATTGAATTACGTTAGAATTAACCCTTTGGATATTTCTTCAGCAATAAAAAATAAAATATTTGTTTTATTAAGTAGAAAGTCTGGACACATATATGAGTAATTCTAGAAATTAAGTAGGGACAATATGAGTATTGCTATTTATCATTAGCATCTTTTAAATGACGATGAGTCACTTTTAATTGAGGGTAATGTATTTGACACTGAATTAAATGATTTACTATCACTTAAATTCACAATAATTTCTACTAACGATGGTATCTTTCTACATGTAAATCAAGATTTACATAATATCACGTGACACTGTACCATTTATCAGCAACTTTTTCATCAAATATTTTCCACCTACATAATATTCTGTACAACCCCACACTTATATATGGCTTCACTGGGCTGCTGCTTATTCATACACCCACTAAGTCTAATTTTCAGCCACTATACACAGCACTGCACCCTTCCAATTCCATCATACACAGACCACTTATGGCCTCGCCACAACGAAACCCTAATCCCACAATTCAAAGTATCTCTCTGTCCATCTATGAACACTGTCACGAGCGGAACGAGGTTCATCGTATTATGCGAGAGAAGGACGTGAGTTCCTTGAGAAACTATGGTGGTGCTCCCATGGTTGCCGCTGCTTTCAATTCTAATATTGAAGAAGGGCTTCAGACGGGTTCAGCTCTAAAACCAGGATTGAAACAAGTCGATCACCCAAGTTTCACCAGCTTCGTGTTGGAGGAGTTCAAAAGTGCTACCTTGCTTCCGCTCTTTGTCTCTGCTGCAATTTGCTTCATTGCAGGTGTTGTCTCGGAAAAACCTGATTACGGCTGGCCTGAGGGTGTTGACATCCTCGTTAACATTCTCATTCTTCTCTTTCTACCATCTATTCAGAAGTACTATGGTGCAAGAAACGATGCGAAAAAAATCAGGTTACAGAAAGTGACAGTAATAAGAGATGGGAAGCGTCAAGATTTGGCGGTCTCGGAGGTGGAGGAGGGCGATTTAGTTGTTTTAAAGGAGGGAGTTGTGGTTCCCGGCGATGGTTTGCTTGTGTCTGGGAATGAATTAGAGATTGATGAAGCGTTAAATTCCAGTATTGATTGTAAGAATAATCCTTTTCTCTTGTCTGGTTCAAAAGTTCTCAAGGGAGGAGGCCGCATGATCGTTGTGTCTATTGGTTCTAATACATCTCTAGGTGAGATGATGGTCTTGGTGAACCGCAATCCGTGTGAAGAACCCTCGTTCCAGGCTCACATGAAGGAACTTAACAGGGCCATGGATTATATTGTCATGTTCATCTATATTGTGCTTGCTTTGGTCTTATTTTTCCGGCTCCTGTGCACAAGAAACCACCACAAAGACGACCAGAAGAGTGTTCGACCACCCAACTTGAACAATAAAGTCTCAGCCGAATTTGTAGAAACTTTGTTCAAGAAGGTCTTGTTGAGATCGAGAGGTAAAATCATCCTTCTGATCTATTCACTTACTATAGTTGATCTGGGGTTGCAGGGTATTTTACCTCCGACTATTTCAGCTTCTCTGATATGCTGGAATAGGAGTTTGAAAAAGAAGTATCAGATTCACCCCAAGAATTTGTATGCTTGTGGCACCATGGGATTGACAACATTCGTCGTAATTGATGTATCCAATCGATTACTTGTGCCTCAATGCCCACTAGAAGCTGCAGAAGCTCTTAAGAATAAAGAAGTTTCCATCGTATTGGTGTCAAGAGGTGAAGAGAATTTTGTAAGAGCCATAGCTGACGAGATGGGTATACTGCCTACTTCAAAAGATTTGGGGGTTAATGGAGAGGAATTCGACCAAGATGTATTCACAAGGAATGACATAATTTCCATAAGGATTATGTACAAATCCCAACCGAAGCACACACTCCTCCTTGTGAAGGCCTTGAGAGAAAATGGTCATGTGGTTACGTATTTGGGGGGATTGGCAACCCTAGACACTCCTACTTTGAAGGAAGCAGATGTTGGGATTATTGAAGAACAAGCTAGCTGCGGATTGGCCCACGAATCCTCGGATTTTATAGTACAAGGTAAAGGATCTTTGCTTCCACTTCTGATATCGGGAAGATTTGTTTATTCTAATGTGGTCTCATTCATTGAAGCTATGCACACAACGAGCATTTGCATTTTGTTCATGGCCTTCATTTTAGAACCATTTCATCTGTTCTGGGTAAATGCTGTGACTCATATCCTTGGTTTTTCAATGATTTTGATGGAGCTACCCAAGAAAAGAACCATATCGCTCAAGGCGAAGGCCATTTGCCCAAACATTGCCCGTAAGGTCTTATGCCAGGTTCTTCTGCTGCTGAGTTTAGGGTTTATTCCAAAAACGATACTGGGCTCGAACGAAGATACCCAGGAAGTTATGACTTTGAATGTTTTCACCATGTTCCAGGTTTTCTACATGTTCCAGATCATGGAATTTTCAGATATAGAAGTTCTTACAGTTGCTGTTCGAAACTACAGTTTTTTAGCGTCGGTTGGAGTTACAATGGTCTTCCATGGTATTATCATAATTTGCACTGAGAACTTGAGTCTTGTGAATTGGATTATCTGTTTCCTTCTTGTGTTGCTTTTGTGGGTTCTCGATTCGACCCTAAAGGTCGTCGCAAAAACACTTTATAGAAGTGTTCGGACCCTGCCTTCCGAGATGTTCGCGACATGATCAAATTGTATTGCATTAA